CTTTCAACTCGGGAACCACAAAAGCTAGGAAGCTGAAAATTTAGAGGAACGTTCCCCACCCACATGTGACCTCGCGAAATTTAAATTCAGCTTCCCCGTATCCGCGGGAACACGTATGGCCCCGTGAAATTTTTTTACGGGTAAATTGATATCTCGGGAAACACGAAGTATAGGAGGCTGAAATTTTAGGGTAATGATCCCCTACCCATGCTCAACCTTGCCCATTCGAATTCAGCGTTCCCGCGCTCTTGAGTATCACCTACGGCCTCGTGAAGGTTTTGGCGGGTAAACTATTAACTCGGGAATCACGGAATGATATTCACCTTTCAAGATGTTTCGAACTCAACTTTATACGCTGGTGCGTGAAATTTTTAACTATTTTCCAATTTTTGAACTATTTTTGCATAGACAAAAGTACAAAGCAGTAAGAATCATTAATAGGCAATCGTTCGATGGGCTGAATTGCACAAAACGCATGATCACACCGGCTAGTCTGGTGCGCGTTAGCAATCGTTCGATGGGCTGAATTGCACAAAACGCATGATCGCACCGGCTAGTCTGGTGTGCGTTGCTATTTATTATGCAATCGTTCGATGGGCTGAATTGCACAAAACGCATGATCGCACTGGCTAGTCTGGTGCGCGTTGCTTTTTATTATTTATGTTACTTCCATACTCCTCATACAATTCTATTCTATTCCTTTTTTTTTTGTTCTCCATGTCATGCTCATTTAATCTGCCTTCTTCTTACATGGCGAGTAGGAGGCTGTACTGACGACTCTCACTTCCATTTGCATCAGATGCTCTTTGTGTGTTTGTGTGTTTACAGCTAAGGGATGAAACACAGACTGCAAACTTACTTATATATCACCAGAATATGTAACTTTCCAACAATCTTATAAAATATGTATCACGCCACCTTACTCGCAGTTCATTGAGCCTTTTACTGCAACACCAAAAACCAAAGCCACAAACTGGAATTAAAATCGCCTAAAATTACTGCTGTGTGGGAAGCGCACAGGCCCCTACAACTTCTCTTATCGATAAATAGGTTTTGCAACGACGAAACAAGTCTTCCTTCGGACAGTCACATATTTGTTCAAAACATGGCGGAGTGGGGCACTGTACTGATGATTCCCACCCCATTACGCACCGACTCTGCCGTCTGTGTTTACAGCTTAGGGATGAAACAAAGACAGGACAACAGCTAATGCACATACAGGCTCGCTTATCTGGGTATCTGAATTAGCACTCACTGCTTTCCCACAACTGACAATATTCGACTGTGTCCCTTTCATCGGCTGGCCTACAGTGCCAAACAAACTTTCATATTTAAAATTTTTCAAGAATTTCCAAAACACTTTGCTTCGTGCACTTGCTGGCCCCAAGAACATCCTCCTCTCATCTGGAACGGTAATTCTCCGGAGTAAGTGGCCAAACCTCGCATCGCTGCTTTCAGTCGTCGTCTTCCTGTCGATTTCCTCCAGGCATATGATGTCATCCGAATCGTCCATGCGAACAACCGTCGCAAAAGGCCTCCTGAAATATGCTCCATGATCGTGTTAGATCCAAAACGAAAGCTCTCTCAGAGGTTGTAAACCGCGACAATCTTCAGGGCAGCACCGTTTGAAGCTCTTAGTGATGTCTTGCGGGCGACGAGGACGACGATAACGACGATGCTGGCACGATGAATTTCGGACGAGAACTTAGATGACTGCTGTTGTACTGTGGCGCGTAGTGGACAGATTGGAGTCGACAAACAAACTATATCAACACGAATACTAGATTACAAATGATTCGTTGGAGCGATTGAAATTAAATCGGGCGCTTGCAGCGACAGCCGCTGCAGACAAGGTGCCGATAACTGGATTGCAGCACCACACCGCTGCACTGGACCTCTGAACGCGAAACGTAGGGCACACTAAATACCAGCGATCCGAAATACTGAAGACACGAGAAGGTGACGTTGAACACTGGGGTAATACACGACGACGACACGGAAGACGCACCCGACGATAACACTGAACATACACACTGAATCTTACAACAATTTTACACGCTTAAATACTCATCACAGAGGGCGGGATAGATCACGGGTTAAACTGCTGCACATTTCTGGATTGCTCATTGCTTCTCCTGCGCGCCATCTTTTGCCCGCTCTACCGTGGCACAGTTTTACCTAAAGTGTATTCTATATCGGCAGTCTTCAAAGGATTACATCTCGTGCAAATCAGAGAGTCCAACGAGGGTGATTAGTACAGAAATGAGGTACAAATTTCAAAGAATCGCCAGCCGAAGGGACGAAAGTTGAAGCAGAAGCGAGGCCCCTTTCGCCCCTGTAATTCAAGCTCCCTGACAGGCCAGGCACTCGGAAACATTCGCAGGATGCGCCAGTGGAGCGAGGCTCCCTGTTTCGAGGGTTGCTTAGAAGCAAGCTGATGGCGGCTATGATAAATACAGCCCCAACCAGAATCCCCTTTCCCCAACCTCCCTCCCCCCACCACTTCTCGTTGAAGAAGTT